AATGGAATTGACCGTCACATTATAACGCCCCCACGGCTGAAAGGGCGAGCATGTTTGGTGTGACGGGGATTCGAACCCGCGACCCTCAGATTGCGAGTCGAGTGCCTTAACCACCTGGCCATGCCGGGCCGAAACAATACTGTGTTATAACTAGCTTTCGCTGGATATTTTTTATTAAACCGGGGGCGAATGTCCATAGTTTTGTCCTGGGTTCTGAACATAATAGTTACGGTACTAACTAAATTGGACGAAGTTTTATCTTTCACAGAGGTATCAGTTAAGGAGTTTTTTTGTTTTTTTTTAAGTACGACCGTTGGGGCACCTTGGTTGCTGATGCATCATCGGTGGTTTTCGGAAAGATTTTACCTGGTGGCGCCGTTTCCTCTCCAGGTTGCCGTCCCTAATTTAGCAGTAAAAAACTAGAGGGAAAGGAGGTTATGCATACAATAAGGAAATAAGGCTGAACATCATTATCCCAGACGTTATAACCCTATTAGACCTTTGTCTTCAAGCTTTGCATTTTTACTAAAAAAATAAAATGGATGCTTGATGGAACTGTAATGAAATCCCCTTTGTCGCCCGTTGTAACAAGCATTTTCATGCAGCACTATATTTAAACATGCCGTTCCAATGCTGCTTCTACACCAACCACAAATGTGAATAAAATACGTACGTTGGCGAGACTCTTGTTTTATTTGCGAAGGATACCTCATTCTTCGTTAATATCTGAGCTGATAATTTCAAAACATAGCGTTTTCCACAGTACTTAGGATTAACAAAACTCTTCAGTTTCTCGGTGGTTTGGTTTACGACGGCAGTGTCCAAGTTCTGACTACTGAACGGCTTTATCATAAACACTCTCACAGACTGATATATATTTTTTCGTACGTTTCCTGTACGTTCTGAAGTTATTCGAACGCTTAATGCCAGAGTCAAAAACATTTGCTGCTCATTTACATTGAATAAGTTCTATGACAACAACGATTACTCCCAAAAATAGCGTAAACGCATATGAGCAACAAATCTACATTTCTGATAAACCGCCTTATACTAAGGAAGAAAGAAGAATAAAATCAGATATTGTGAAAGACTGAGGAAAATATAAAACATCTTCAACATCAAAAGTCCTTCAACCCTAGAAGACATATTTCTTAAAGAAATAGTTTGTATACGTTGTTTATATTGTACATGCAGTATGAATGTAATTGATACATTGGAGAGACAAAGATGACAACTCGAAATACTTTTGAGAACACGTCGCCAGTAGGTGTCACATCCAGGGAGGAAAGAACACGTGAACGATGCACAAATATTGGATAAAAAACAAAACAACAACGAAAGAAAACTATCGCCATCCAAATGCGTTACGGAGGTCCTCCAGAATCAATCAAAACAATGTCCAACAAATCACGTAGGACAATATTTATGAAATATAACTAACATCCCATTAATCGTAGACTTGACATAAAATTAAAACTCTAACGTAACTCTTCTACAATCTGATTTCACGAACTGTTGTGGACATATATAATTATGATCTGGAAAATGTAAAAGTTGTTTTTCATTAAACTCTATCATTGTAAGAAATCCCAATCTGTTTGTAATTTTCGACGTAATTATCAGAACTGGGCGTTAATCAGTGAATACTCTGACAGCACGACAGATTTCCTGAAAGAAATTGACAATCGTTTTACTAATGAACTGTATCGTGATACATCATTTCACACGATTATGAGTAGCCAAACGAGTCAAATTTTACTTTCCTTTTTCAATGATTATGAATTTCAAAACGTTTTAACATAACCAGAACTATCTGGTAAAACGTGCACACTAGCAGCAGTACATATACTGTATATATACAACCAGTATTTGTGCAGAAATAAAACTTATACAAATTCCTGTCCTTCAAGTGGCAAATAAATATTTTTTCCCACTTCACATAAGCAGAACGTGAACTGCAGCGCACAAAGAACAACTTTTAAGACAGCTATAATTGGATATTTAATCCTACGTACAAAATGTCGTGAAA